TTCATTTATATAAATGTTAGATCCTTTAAGCTTCTTTGCTTGTTGCAGTATGTGTGCCTTATCTTTCTCTTTCATCAACTTTACCATCACCGCCCTCGGTCCCCGATCAGAAGGTTTCCCGACTCTGTGAGCCCGCTCCATCTCAGTTTCTTGATGAATTTGTAGTTTATCCTTTAGTATTTCCTTCACCTTACATTCCGCTTCCGTCCAGCTTTCTCCAGCTGACTCCTTGATTCCCTCGAAGATCAGGTTTTTTCGCTTGGACTGTACTTCCAAATGCTCCATTTTATCCGTTATGGCTATTAGACTCTCACAAGTTTTGTAGACATCATCCCTTGTTTCCTTGGTTTGTATTATCTGTTCACCCAAGGCTGCTTTAATCACATCCACATCTCGCTGGGTAAACTGCAAACTCGTTTTTATCTCCTGTATTTCTCTGGTCATGTCGTCGAGTCTCTTGTTATTTGTCTCCATAAGTAGTTGCACAAAACCTTTGAAGTTGTCTTGTTGTTGGCTCAACAGTGCAGTGTACATCTGCTTCTGCTGACTCAACATCTCTGTTACTTGCGCCGCTGAAATATAATCCTCTTCTGCTTCAACATCCTCGTTCGCTTCTGATTTATTAGCTCTTTTCCCTCTTGGAGGCATTTTAATAGTTGTAGAATTTGTTCAAAGACTTGAAAATGTAGAAGATGTGAAAAATCGTAGAACAGACAAGAGGAGCAGTAAAGACGTCTGCTCTCGCTTGCAACCTGGAAACTGCCTTGGAAGTGAGCTGGAGAAAATAATTTCTACATCAAATCAATGGACATGTCTTATTACAGACATTTTCACATAGCAGGGAAAAGCACAAGTGTGACCAATAAATTGAATCATTGCCAGTGGACCAGTATGCATAGTACCGTGGCTCTGCCACCAGTACTCCTATTGTTAATGTTAATAATAACCGTGTTTGACAAGTGAAAATGTCAGCTGTGGAAAGTCTATTACAAATCCCATTATTACTGGCTTTTGTTGTAGGTAATGGAGCAACTGGGAGACGCCAGGATCGACAGGCAGGAGAACAGTCGCCAGCAGCGCAAGGCTGAGATCATGGAGAGTATCAAAAGACTCTACCCTGGCTCTGTGGTAAGGCCAGTGTGATAGTATTCAGTACAATGCTAGCTAATTTTCTTATACTTGCAAAACAGCATTTGGTTTGCTTTTTTTGTTAGATTTAATGAAAGCACTGGAAAAACTCAGTATAGTAAACAGCTTTTTCCTCTGTCTTCAGTATGGTCGTTTAATCGACCTGTGTCAGCCCACTCAGAAGAAGTATCAGATTGCTGTGACCAAAGTGTTGGGTAAGAACATGGATGCCATCATTGTTGACTCAGAGAAGACTGGCAGAGACTGCATTCAGTATATCAAGGAGCAGAGAGGAGAGCCTGAGACCTTCCTTCCTCTTGACTACCTTGAGGTGAGGTACTAGAAAGAAACAATTAGAGCTCCACACAAGTGTCTTTGTAGTGACTATGATAGCTCCACCCTGGAATGGAAATTTCATTAAACTTATCAACGATCTACCATTGTCTTGCTCAATATCAGGCACCAGTTTCCTGATGGAAATGTCACTTACAAAAAGGGGGATAATTTTAAATTACTTAATTTTAAACATTTCTTTTATGCGTTTGCCTTTCTTCTCAAAGGTGAAACCAACCGATGAGAAACTGAGAGAACTGCGAGGGGCCAAGCTGGTGATTGATGTGATTCGCTATGAACCCCCCCACATCAAGAAAGCCCTGCAGTATGCTTGTGGCAACGCACTTGTCTGTGAGAATGTCGAAGATGCACGAAGGATTGCTTTTGGAGGGCCATACAGACATAAGGTACTTGACTTCACTGAAGTCCATAGCTAACATTTTATATTTTGTCAACATTTTATGCCATAAAGATGGGAGGACTGGAAAGCTATCATGCCAGCCTGTCTATTCTTGTCTTAACCTCTATTTATGTGCCTTTGTCTAGACGGTAGCCCTGGACGGTACTCTGTTCCAGAAGTCTGGAGTCATCTCTGGAGGAGCCAGTGACCTGAAGGCCAAGGCCAGACGTTGGGATGAGAAAGCAGTGGATAAGCTCAAGGAAAAGAAAGAAAAACTCACTGAAGAGCTCAAGGTAACATTGATTATTAATATCTCCACCAAGGAGGTTGGAGTTTTGGTCTTGTGTGAGGTGGCGTGCTCTGGAATTTTGTTAGTGGGAAGTTGATGTCCCTCAGATAACCACAAGGCTTAAAACCTCAGCTGTTGATCTGTAGTCACTGATACCATTTGCTAGATTGTCACTTAATGTAAAGTCACAGCCATTTCAATATGATATTTTTCTTTGTAGGAGCAAATGAAGGCCAAGAGGAAGGAGGCAGAGCTGCGTCAGGTGCAGTCTCAAGCCCACGGTCTGCAGATGAGACTCAAGTACTCCCAGAGTGACCTGGAACAGACAAAAACCCGCCACCTCTCCCTCAACATGCAGGTACAGCCTTGTTACAGCTCATTATTTTCTTCTTGTTTTTTATTGCTAACATAGTGATTCATGCATTAAAACTGCACCATTTGTGCCATGCAGGAGAAGTCTAAGCTAGAGAGTGAACTGGCAAACTTTGGCCCACGCATCAACGACATCAAGAGGATCATCCAGTCCCGTGAGAGGGAGATCACTGACCTGCGGGACCGCATGAACCTGGTAAGACTGACACACAGCGAGGTCCACTTTGAAAGTCTGCTTGTGGATATGTGGCATTGCAGTAAGATCAGTATGAATGTTTCTGTTTTCCAGGTGGAGGATGAGGTGTTTGTGGAATTCTGTAAGGAGATTGGAGTGAGGAACATCAGAGAGTTTGAGGAGGAGAAGGTGAAGAGGCAGAATGAGATTGCAAAGAAGCGGTGAGTTTTGTAATTCAGTAGTCAGTTCTTTCCACATTGTTTTGAAATCCGTGTGATCTAACCTGACATTCATCATTATGCCTCAGTCTTGAGTTTGAGACCCAGAAGACTCGTCTGGGTATCCAGTTAGACTATGAGAAGAATCAGCTGAAGGAGGACCAAGAAAAAGTCATGATGTGGGAGCAGACGGTTAAGAAGGACGAGGCTGAAATAGAGCGACTTAAGAAGGTAAAAACAAAATGAAAAATTAAAGCTTTTTATCTCTTGTCCTCGCTCTTGACATCAGGTTAAATCTCACTTGTCTGTCTTGTCTTCCTATAGGAGGAGCACAGACACATGAAGATCATTGATGAGACAATGGCTCAGCTACAGGACCTGAAGAACCAGCATCTCACCAAGAAATCTGAAGTCAATGATAAAAACCATGAGATGGAGGAGATCCGCAAAAAACTGGGTGGCGCCAACAAGTCAGTGTCTGCAGACATCCATCCAAACTTTAATATTTCCTGTGTCATGTGAAGGTAAATTTTACCTTTGAGTCCTTTTGCTCTATAAATGTTGTGTATTCCAGGGAGTTGACCCAGCTCCAGAAGGAGGTGACAGCCATTGAGACCAAACTAGAGCAGAAGCGCAGTGATCGTCACAACTTGCTGCAGGCTTGCAAAATGCAGGATATCAGGTTGCCTCTTCGGTCTGGAACAATGGATGATATCAGCCAGGGAGAGGTACACACAAACACACCCACACATGCTTTAATTTTTATATCATTGGGATTAAAACGGAAAATTACATCCTGCTTCTGTTTTGCCATTTCAGGGGAGCTCCCAGACAGATGAGTCCAGCAGCCAGAGGATGTCCAGCAGTCTTCTCGCTAAGGAGGCTGTTATAGAGATTGACTACAGCAACCTGTCTGAGGACCTTAAGGTAGTCAGTCCAAGCAGCACCCTTGCCTTATATTTCAACAGTTCAGCTTGTCCTTCTCCCCTCACTTTTTTTAAATTGAAATGTCAGGTCTTTTGATTTGTGTTACTGGTCACAACAGGCACAATGTGTTTATACAAAAGGAAAGCAAGACATTTGCAGCAAACATGACATTTATAGTTTGTTACACTTATGAAATGCACATCTTTATTTAGCCCTTTTTGACTTTCTACAGGATGCCCTGTCAGAGGAAGAGATCAAGGCAGAGACAAACACGCTGCAACAGCGTCTGAATGAACAGCAGAGTATCCTACAGAGGATCAGTGCTCCCAACATGAAGGCCATGGAGAAGCTAGAGAGTGTCAGGGACAAGTTCCAAGAGACTAGTGACGGTGAGATGGCAGGGTGATCATAGAGGCTGGGGTTAACTGAGCAGGACAGAAGTAATGCTGTTTTTTTTTTTTTTTTTTTTTTCTTTTTTCATTCTTTTCAGGAGCTTGTGACTGTATTCTCTGTGTGGACTCATGGTTATGTTTGTCTTTGTTTCAGAGTTTGAAGCTGCCCGTAAAAGAGCCAAGAAGGCCAAGCAAGCCTTTGAGCAGATCAAGAAGGAAAGGTTTGATCGTTTCAACAACTGCTTTGAGTCTGTAGCCACCAACATCGATGAGATCTACAAGGCCCTCTCACGTAACAGCAGTGCCCAGGTATAAAAATGTTTTTACAATGACTCGCATGGGTTTTATGCTATGGCACAAGTCACAAAACATGTGCTTGAACTTTTAATGTGGTATGTTATGTATTAAAAGTAAAACCTCTTTACAATCAGCACGTCTTTCCCGTAGGCTTTCTTGGGCCCAGAAAACCCAGAGGAGCCGTACCTGGATGGCATCAACTATAACTGTGTGGCTCCAGGAAAGAGGTTCAGGCCCATGGACAACCTGTCTGGAGGAGAGAAGACTGTCGCAGCCCTGGCTCTGCTCTTTGCTATCCACAGGTAAAACAAGAGAGGAATACAGAGGGAGTCAAAATACATGTTTGAGTTATTTGAAAGTTGATGTTATTGCTAACATCATCTCCGCTGCTTGTCTGTAGCTACAAACCAGCACCCTTTTTTGTACTGGACGAGATTGATGCTGCTCTGGACAATACTAACATTGGCAAGGTCTGTTCAGAATTTAAATTAGATTGACTGACTTGAGCATTTTATCACTGCTGCTTGTGATGAAAACAAAGTGGCTTTTCCTGTACCCTCAAGGTGGCCAATTACATCAAAGACCAGTCAATGCAGAACTTCCAGGCCATCGTCATTTCTCTGAAGGAGGAATTCTATACCAAGGCAGACTCGCTGATCGGTGTTTATCCAGAGGTGTGTTTCTCATTATAGTCCATACAAAATGCTAAATAAAATACAGCCATGAAGCTTTGGCAGCTGCGTGTAACAGGTATCTGCAGATCTTTAAAAGTCATAAAAAGCACTGAATTTGTAATACCTTAAAATGTATTACAAATCTTCAGTTTTGTTTAAGATTTGTAATACATTTAGAATATTCATGCCTACTGTAGACAGAAATATTAGTTAAAGCTGTTTTTTGATGTGGCTGTGAGATGTTTTCTGGCACTTCTTTGGGGCTATGTCACTTATTCTGATTAACTGGATTAAACAGCTGACAAAAGATAATTTAAATGTTAGTAAATTCATATACAAAGAAAAATGTAGGCCTTATTTTCTTTACTAGTTTTCACTCATTCCTTGACCAGTATGGTCAAAAGTTATTTCATTAAATCGCTTTGGTAAATACTGCAGAAACCCAGTGAATAAGTCATCATTAAACTAAAGCTAAACCAATTTGTTGGTTTAATTGATTAGTCAATTGACAAAATCTTTAAAATGCATATTGGAAACATGATGCACTGAAAAAATGCAGTTGATTTTCCTTGTCTTTCACCCACAGCAAGGAGATTGTGTCATCAGCAAAGTTCTCACCTTTGACCTCTCTCAGTATCCTGATGCCAACCCAAATCCGAACGAATAGAACACGGCACTCCTGGTATTTTGGCAAGTTGGACATTCATTTTCTACTCTCTCTGGATTGCTCATGTATTCTGTATTCACGCATCACGTATCCATTAGGCCCCACATTATTTCCTCTTGTTTTTTATGTTTATGTATTTTTTGATATGGTAGATCATTGAATTAGTGAGATTTGTTTTTGTTGTTGTTGTGGGGATGGTCTTTATAAACTGTTAACAACCAGGATGTATGCACATTTATACAAACCACCATTTTTTTTCAATTTGGCATTGCAGGAGTGATTCTAATAATTACTAAAACTGAATTATGATCCAGTGAAACTGAATGGGAATCAAAGCTTTTTAATAGACTGTAGAATTTGTATCATGGTAAAATGTCAGATTTACCCAAAGCACGTTTTTGTTTTACTGTTTATAACCCCTTTTTCAGTGGTGTGCTCAAAAGCCCTGTGCCTGTCCTCTTTTGTGTGTACTAAAAGATGTATTTGCATTTTCAAACAGGCTACTTTTTTTTAAAGCTTAATCAGGAAACTGTTGTTGCAGTATGATGGATACATTCCCATGTGTGATAGCTAAATAAAGCCAGTAGGTAGCTGCAGCTGGTGGTGCTATAATGAGATCATGGAGCTTTGCAAAGGAAATATGCTGAGGTTATACATCTGAATGAATAACAACAGTTCCCCTGAGTGATAATCTGAATCAGCTTCAGACAAATGAGAATTTTTAGGTCAGGTTTCAGGTCTGTTTGTATTGAGTGCTCTGCTTCAGTAAATAAAATTCAAATTATTTAAGCTCCTTTACTTGTAGTATTTTATAATGCAAGCATGCAACTCATTCACTGTTTTCTGATTTCAGGTGCTGCTTTTTGATAGCTTTGTGAATTTGAATTTTCTTACTGTTTATACAAACCTGTTATGCAGCATGCATCTTGCTGCATTAGTTTCCATTCCATAAGGGGGAGTCTGCTTTGCTTGGCATGACTATTTATAGGGGCTCTCAGTTTTCATGCTGTAGCTTCTGCAGGGGGTAACATCAGAAGCATGCATCAAGGACCTGTTCGCACTGACATCTCATTTCAAGGTAATCCTATCCCAAGACTTTGTTTAGTGGAGTAAACTTACCTGTTGCAAAAGAGGTTTTTCCCTCTGCAAATCCTAGTTTATGTTGTTAGATGTCCGTTTTTGCTTGCAGAATGAGCACAAACACATGAATATCTTAGGAAGATTTATTTCTTTTGCTAGTGGTTAAAACACCAGTGTAACATCAACTCTAATGTCATTGATCCAGAAGCTAAGGAGAATTAAGATCAGAAGTTGAGCTTTAAGGTTCACTCCAACTACTGGTATCTCCAAAACCTTGAAACATAATGTATGTATGATAACAAAAAAAAAAACAGGCTCATCAGAGCATAATGTAATAAGAGGATAAAGGTATGGAAGTAGAACTATGCCAAAATGTTTGAGAGGGCTCTAACCACATTTCGAGAGCCACTCACTTTGCAGCTCAGCATTTGGGAGCACGCAGGCACGAAATTGTAAAAGCAGAATCAGATCTGAGAGTGTAACCCTGGCTGTGTGCGCACTCGTTTCTAAGTCTGCACTCAGATTTCTCCACTGGGCTTTGTGTAAGTCTGTCAGTGCCAAAAGTTTTGAATGTGCACAAAACTGTATGCTATTCAATTTGCAAATCAAAATGTGGCGGTGTGCAGGCCCAGATTTGTAAGAGCAGCTTCACATTTGAGAGCGAGGGAGGATCCTTGCTGCTTGCTGTCCTTGCTTGCTCTCAACTCTGCCACTGATCTTATAAATCTATGCCTGCTTGCTCTCAGATTCTGATTTGCAAGCTGAATAGCACCTGCAACTTGTTTTGTTCACTTTCAAAACTTTTGAAATCTGAAGGCGCAGACTCAGAAATGACCACAGGCATGGCCGAGATTACACTCTCAAATATTCTGTGCTTAGATATGTCTGTGTGCTCTCGAATGCTGAGTTAAAATCCACTCAAAATGTGGATTTACTTCCACAATAACCACAAATGTTTAATGTTAAAACAGTCCTCTGGAAGGCCTGTCAGTGTTTGCATTTGGGCACAAAATATGTAACTCGTGCAATAAATTATGCCCATGCAATTATGAATAAAATTAGTTAATAAGCCTCTGAGCTTTTAAGTTAAATCCACCATACTCCAGGTATGCTGAAGATACATTTTCTATAGGGGTCAAACAAACTGCCCCCCCAACTCAAAAGGTATGACATTCTTGTAAATAAAAACAAAACCTGTACAGTAGCTGTATAGTGACTTAGTGACTGGAAAAAAAAATCACATGCACTGCTTGACTACAGTATAGCTTTAAAATTTAAATACTTTAATAAACCTTTGCACAGTTTTTTGACATTAAATGTTCCTCTGTCCTCCAAAAAATGTTTCCCCTCTAAAATCTGCTGAAACCAACTGCAGACACGAGTAGTTGTGAGCAGGAGAAAACTGTAATAAAAGACTTAAACAGTGAGTCCTCTGGCTCTGAGGACACTGCTTTAAAAACAAAGAAAAAATGCTTCAACTTGCATCGTTAGAACCAGAGTCCCTTTAGAGACTGAACTGACACCTCAGTTCAGCTTTTCTGGGCTCGGCTGCTCAGAAATTCAGTCGTGATCTTTTGTCCTCTCTGTTCGCTAAAAATGCAGCACAATAAAAAAAAAAAAACGCTGCCGCCTTCTATAAAATCAGCAAAAAAAAAAAAAAAAAACGCTGCCGCCTTCTATTTGCTGAGTCATTATAGACATTTCACTCATCCCTCACTTTCCTCCCTCTCTCAATCAGGCTTCAGTAAGACAATTGTCTCACGTGTGGCTGTTGCATAAGTCTATGGAATGGATAACCTTAAAAAAAATGCTCCAAAGAAAGAAGTGCATCAGTCTGTTTACTCTGAGATAAGGTAGTTTTAATTTTTCAATAAATCTGAAGGTTTTTTTCACCAGATATATTGTTTTAAGTTTCAACCATACATGATGATATATTCAACTTCAGCCAACCTGCCCTATGCCTCGAGTCAGGCTAGTAGATGCAGATTGTCACAGGGAGCTTGGTAAAGTGAGGCGAGGTGGAACCACCTGCAAGTTTAGAAGTCATGATACCCACGTGCACTCAAGTGACAGCCTCTAAACTTCGGAGTTGGACTCAGTTGGCTCCTGCACAGAGGGAATTGTGGGGATTGGACGTCTCTTCCTCCTCACAGCTGGATCTGGCTTTCGCGTTTGTTGTGCTGCCGTAGCAGGGCCGGAAGGAGGCACAGGAATGGGACGGTTCTTTTTGCCAGAGGTGATTCTGCCGGAGCGTTTATTGAGGATCTCCTGAACCACGCCCTCCATATCAGTAATGGGGATGCGCATGGCCTCTGCCATCTCCTCCCTAGCCACAGAGACAAAGCTCGGGTCTCTGGCCAGAGAAGCTAGACCTCCCTCTACTAGAGCCTGGAAGAAGAAAAAAAAACAGGTATTTGGGGTTCGAATCTCTGTCAAGGCATGATAGATTGTAGAAGGTAAGGTGGGAGGTAAAAGAGAGGAGGAGAAGGTAAGGTGGGAGGGGAGATAGACAGGGGAGGAAATAGACAGTAGGTGGTAAGGTGGGAGGGAAGATAGAGAAGAGGTAGAGAGAGGTGGAAGGTAAAAGTTCTTTTAGAACTTTTTGAAGCCATTTAATTTCTACCTCTCACTTTGGGATAAAGCCGTCCACTGTTTTAGGAATGCTCTCAAGTTCTCACCTTCAGATAATGAAGTTAAATTCCCAACTTCAGTTTATCATTTCATCTTCCATAATTATTCAGCATTGGATCACAGACTTCAGCTGTTTCAGCAATGGATTTCAGCATTTTCAGGGTAATGGAGAGGTGGAAGGTAAAAGTTCTTTTAGAACTTTTTGAAGCCATTTAATTTCTACCTCTCACTTTGGGATAAAGCCGTCCACTGTTTTAGGAATGCTCTCAAGTTCTCACCTTCAGATAATGAAGTTAAATTCCCAACTTCAGTTTATCATTTCATCTTCCATAATTATTCAGCATTGGATCACAGACTTCAGCTGTTTCAGCAATGGATTTCAGCATTTTCAGGGTAATGCTTCAGCAATCAGCATCTACACGCAATTTCTTCAGGAAATGCATTTGTGTAATTATTATTATTACTACCTGCAATATTGTTTTCATAATTTCATATTACTTGTCACGCATTAATCTTAAACCTACAGCTCCTGTTGTAATAAGTTGCGTTATTACTGTATACAGTAATAACGCAACTTTCTGTCCAAGTAACGTCCACACAAATGCCATTATAACAAGATAATCACTGTTATTCACTTGACCTGCCAGTGGCTTTAATGTTGTGGCTGATCAGTGTCTGTTATGGTGCAATTTTGAATGGCGTTCATGATAATCTGATACATTATCGAACACTGCAGAGGAAGGGATGCGGCCTCAGCCAAATAACAACAGTCCTGGATCACAGTTGAAGCCACTGTGAAATACAGTTCAGATGTAATATTTGATAAAACTTCAGTAATGCTCACTACAGGTTAAAAAACTGCTAAACAATGAAAGATTTTTTTTTTCTAGAGACTTAAATAGCATAGCCTGAAGTTAGTTTATTGCACATACTCTTAAAAACAAATCCTGGAACTGCCCAACAGACAAGGAAATCCTAATGGAAAAAGCTTAAAGGCTCTGATTTACACTGAATTGTGGATTTTTTCTATATCACGGCTTTACATTAACTATTCTTCACTGATGTAAAACTCAAGCATGTGAAGGCATGTTTTTGCCCTTGAATGCCTGAAAATATTCTGGATTCTAGACAAATTGAAATGACTAATAAATTGAGTGTAGTCCAGGACTAGCCTTAATTTGTGTCCAGGAAATGAGCAGGTGGTGTTTTCATTATCACCTCTATATGAGTGAATCATTCCTGCCAGTGGAGGTGGTAATTAATGAGCATGAGAGAAAAGAGGTGGGCAGAGATGCTTCCTCACTTACCTCCTGGACGAGCTGGTTAGCTGCAGTATAGGAGCTCAGACTCTGACTGTCACCATAGTTAGGGTCATAAGGAAACTGCAAAAAGAAGCAGGAGCTACTGTACATGTTCAATATCATGTGTAATGAATGAATCAGTCTTCAATAAAATATTACCTGTGTCTTGTCTGTTCTCACTGTGAAGTTCCAATAGCGCCTGTTGTCTGAACACAGGTGGAGGAAAAAAAAAGTATTTTATCAAGGACTATAAAAGGTTATGTAGAAAGATCTATCTACAGCTTAAACAACTAGTTGACCAACAGAAAATCAATTTAAATGATGGAAGCTGAATATTTTTGGATTGTAGGTTGGACAACAGTAAGTCGATCCTTTGGCTCTGGGAAAATGGGGCAGGCAAGTGATTGCTGTACTCACTGCTAATTGATTAATAATTGAGAAGATAATCAGTGGATTAAACAGTAATGAAAATAGTGATCTGTTGTGTCTGCCGGGCTCTTACTCATTAGCCAGATTATATCCAAACATTATTTGCTTATCTGGAATTTGACATTTTATCCTATGTTCAGTGTAAAGTGTGCCAACACGGCTGGAAAAGCATTGTAAATTCTACACTTCACTAAAATCTCAGAGTATGCAGGCAGTGGGTTGACAAAAACATACATGTCATGTATTCAGATGAGTATTTTTCTGCAAATACAGAACTAAAATACTAAATACTGTGCAGAGGTGTGTGAACTTTATAGTATATAAATATACTGGAAGAGACATTAGTATATTTTACTGTATTTTCACCGTATTTAATTTGTATACCTGTATGTTTTTCCAGTACAACATGAACATGTGTAGATTGAGATAACAAATTTACCAGCAGAGTTAAAAATTTATAATAATCATAATTTCCAAATTCTATGGGGAATGACAGACTGTCTTGAGACCTGTGATGAATGAGTAGGCCATACCTGGCACTGCATCCTCACTGTCTTGAGAACTGCCCTCTTTTTCAATTGAAAATCTGAAAGAACAAAGATTTCCATGCATCAAAAACATGCACCCTGGGCATTTGTAGTAGATAGCAGTGACTTGGGTACTCACTCTGCAAAGGCGTTGTTGTTTGTGTTGTCTTTTGGAGTGCTGGCGAAAGTTTCGGTAGTGGGCACCAAGGCAGAGGAGTCTGGCAGAGACTCAGGCTGACTCTCGGAAAACTGGAGGGGCCGCTGGTTGGTCATGTGTGCAGACTGAGCGCTTGTGGGCTCAGTGGAGAATGGATCCACCCGGTTCCCAAACAGGCCATGTGTACGCTGGAAATACCAAGCAACACAAGCACACAGCAGGTAAAATCCTTTATCACTGTCCACGGGTAATGAAATGGAGAAGTCGTTCTCATTTATATAATGTAAAGACAGAATAAGGACAACAGTGCGTGTCTGCAATTATGTGTATGCACTCCATATGTGTAAGACAGTGTTAGCTTACTTCCCCATCTCCAAAATGCTCACTACTTTTTAATTTCAGCTTGGTATTGAGAATACTTCAGAAAAATTCTTTTGACAGGCTTCAGTGAATCAAAGGACATAACCTTTCTCCACCCACAGAGGATCTTGTTATCAATCAAAAACTAAAACTCACCATGACCATAACTATAGGGTCTTCCACACAAATACAGTACTTTGCTGCAGACAGTGTTCTCACCTGGTAAATGTGCTCTTCTCCAGTCTCCTCCTCCATAGCTCTGTCCATCTCTTCCTCATTCTGCAGGTCTCCTGAAATGGCCCTGTGCATCTCTGGAGCCGCTTCTTCTTCTATAGTTCTCAGACCAGCCTAGAAAAACATGGAGATTATGGAGAAATGAAGAGTAGAGGCACATATTACTGTGTTCACAAGGATAGGAAGAAGAGGAAACATGAGTGTACTAAATAGTGGTTTAAGAAAAACGAGGTGAGGTACAGTATAACCAGGGTTACTATGTAAATTAGGAGCACTGGTAACGGTGAAGTGCAAATGGTGACTCTAAATTGCCCAGAGGAGTGAGTGTGGTTGTCTGCCTCTTAAGTGTCAGCCCTGTGATAGACTGGTGACCTGTCCAGGCTGTACCCTGCCTCTCGCCCAGTGCCACCTGGGATTGGCTTCAGCCAGCCCTCCCATGACTGTCTTCAGTATAAGTGGTTTAGATAATGGATGGATGACTACCTATCGACTGCTCACCTGGATCTCTGGGCCTAATTTACTCTTCTTTGTGGGCCGGTAGCCGTAGTACTCTTCCTGACGCTTCATGAACTTGCGGAAATAGTCTTGGAGCAGGAAGGTAGCATAAAATTTTCCCACAGTAACCTCATCATCTATAACAAGATCAGTAACAGTGCCATCAGAGTGAGAAATACTAGGTTATGTTCACCTAAATGACTAATGAACCTGATAGACTCACCTCCTATCGGGGGGATGACCTGGTCTAACAGTTTCATACTGGTGCGTTTCCAGATTTGCTTTATAATGGCTCTCAGTTCCTCATTGGCCTGCTCAAAGTTACCTGTTCAGAGCAATCCATGAGTGGAATTACAATATGTAAGGTGAAGGAAAGACGTACTGTATATGAACAGGCATCCACGGTGATATAAGGCTGATGTTCTGTACCTTCTGTTTTGATCTTGAGTGCAGTCCTGACCAGAGAGAAGAGGGTGGCGTTGAAGGTGACTGTACCATCGCTGTTAAGAGGCATGTTCATACCAACCAAACGCTACAGACAGAAAACCGAGAGAATTTAAGCATGAATTTCTGACACTGTCAAGATCAGTCAAGAGAATGTGTGTGTGTGTGGAGAATTTAACAATTTTTATAACTGCTACCTTCTTTGTAAAGGATCTAATACTTTACATAAGTCAACTTGGAACGTAAAAATGTTTTTTTTTCCCCATATGTACCTTACATGCAGCACGGTGAGGACAGAACTTGCCAAAGCCCAGTGGAGGCTGGATGCGTCGCAGCAGTGTCACCACATCCAGATGTTTGATTCTCCCCCTGTTAGGCCAGAGAAACACCATCTTGAGTGATGGTGGTGGTTCCAAACATTTCATGTTTCATTGAAGTGTTCAGGCTCACGTGGCTTCAGGGTCATATTCAGCCCAGATCTTCTTAAACTCGTCCAGATGGTGTGGCCCAAGGAGAGACCAGTCACGAGTCAGGTAGTCAAAATTGTCCATAATGACAGCTACAAAGAGGTTGAGGATCTGAAGAAGGTAGGAAAACAAGATGATTATTTATACAAAAATACTGTATACTGTAATGTAACTAAAACATAAATGTTGACTTCCCAGCTGCTTCTCACCAGGAAGGCACAGAGGCAGTAGAAGCTGAGGAAGTAGAAGACCGCGAAGTTGGACCCACAGGTGTACTCCTCTCCTGGCAGGAAGTCAGACTTAGGGTCACATTTCTTCCCGTACATCGAAGCAACCATGACCTCCTCCCAAGCCTCTCCAGTCGCACATCTGGATACATAAATGATCACCAACCACCGTGAGACCTGAGCTCTGTTTTTTGACTTTGCAACCATGAACCTTTGCAATTCATCCTAGTCCACAGACTCACCGGAATAACATCAGAACAGCTTGAGGGAATGTCTGGAAGTTGTTGTTGCGGTTGATTTGGGTGCCGTCCACTAAAGCTATCTTCCCAAAGATCTGAAAGATAAAATCATATTCCAAATCTTTTAATCAGCAAGGACAGGTACAGGGATTTTCATTTACAGACACAAATTGGAAAGCTACAATACAGTGTTTTACTAGATTTTTATCTTTATAATAAATACCTGCATCCCAATGACAGCGTAGATAAAGAAGAGCATCACAATAAGCAGAGCCACATGAGGAAGAGCCTAAAGACAAAAACCAAGCAGTTAGAGACCACAGGGTAGCACAGTGGTACATGAAAACGATAATGGCCACAGTACTGTATGACCAACCTGGAAGGACTTGATGAAGGTCCACAGTAGGTTACGGATGCCCTCTGAACGGGTCAGCAGTTTGACCAGACGCATAACACGGAAGAGTCGGAAGAACGTGAAGGAAACGGAGGCATTCTCAGCTTCCTATGGACAAGAAAAAAATTGAAGCATTTGAGAATAAGAAAACATAGGAAAAACAGAAACCACTGCTGGGTTGGAATACTGGGAGAGTTTAGGCTTACCGCAATCGCTTGCATAGGATTTCTTTCCTGCACAATGTCAATGAAGAGATAACATACTGAGTTATATTTGATCAAAGTCATAATATCATTAATAAGTGGTACAGACAGCAGCAGACATAGCAGCTGTTATCAACTGTTAAACACTGTTAATTTGAATCAGGCATATCATTAGAAATGGTTTTCCAATTTTAATAAATTACAAAGCGTCTGGGTCTTAGTTGCTGAAATCTAGAAGAACAGCAGCAGTTTGTAACTCATGCAAAACAAACAAATCACACAATTTGTTGTCAAAATATTAAGTCTTCAGTTAGTTCACTCATCATTAAAACTTGCTGAGATTTTACAGCGTTAATATGGCTTGTATTTACAGTATGAGGCATACTTCAACACAGTATCGCAAACACCTAGAGGTTTTACCTTACATGTGTTGTAAGATGAGACAACACAGATGTTTCACCAGCAGTTTCAGCCACACTTGGTTCATTACAATTGTGTTACAGTTTAGTAGAGAAAACAGTGGAGTGCTCACACAGAAAGGCTCTCATGCAGCAGTGCAGTGTAGTGTAGATCAGATATTTACAGCACAACCATGGAGACAGTATAGTCCACCACTGGCTTTCAGGGCATTCTGTGGAGGACAGACACATGTGAGATGCATGGAGAGGATAAAAAAAAAGAGAGAGAATGGGATAAAGAGAGCATGACATGCTGATGGAGAAAACTGAATTTCCAGTAAGTTCGATTGTGGATGAAAAGTGCAGTGCAACAGTGGCAGGAAAAAAACTGTGAAAGGTCAGAGAAAATACTGAGTTTGAGTAAAATAGCACTAAAATCTTTAACTGATGTGCTCTTCTAAGGTGCTCAAGCAACACATATAAAACAGTTCACTGAAATACTGTAACAAATGACTGTATGAATAGTGGATTTTAATGATGGAAATGAAAATGCATCTGAGGTTGTGCAAGACGCCAAGGATGGTGGAAGTGGCCAACAACAGTACTGACCATGTCCTGTGAGCTAGCTGTGCTGGCATTAATCAGCTGTTGGACCACAATTATATGATTTGGGTCAGAGTATTGGATAAAAACATTCAGTAATTTTAATTTGAGTCATATGATTGCCTTGGATTGTCATGGCATCAAAAGGGACTGTCATATACAGCACCTGCAATGAGATGCTAATACCTGTGGAATTCATTAAAGTAGATTTAAAAACTATACGTTATGCCCTTCAGACTCACATCGACTTCACTCAGGATGACATCAATAATGCTACCGACAACGATAATGAAGTCAAAGACGTTCCAGGGGTCTCCAAAGTAGCCCTGCATGGAGAGAGAGAAATCAGTATGGAGGCAGCAAGACACTAGTCTGTGTGGATATATTATTTAAACAGCAAATATGGGCGCCTTTACCCTAGCTTTGAAGGCCATCAGTTTGAGAATCATCTCCACAGTGAAGAGCACAGTAAAGGTCAAGTTCAGATTGTCTGACAGCTTGGTCACATGTTCCGACTGGTTACAGTGCTGTTCAAATGGGAAAACTAATATTAATTTCAACATAACTATTCATTTGACATAGTACTGCTACAACAATAATGGTTATTTTATATCACTGGAAGGAAATGCTAATATTATAGCAACATGGTCTCAAATTGTAACTATTTTTCTGAAACATTAAACATTTATGACTAAACAAGCAACATTAGGCTTAAAAAAGTTTTTTAATGAAATTTTTTACACTACCCAACTAATCGGCTTTTCATTTCCTTATTAGGAATGCTTTACTACAGTGACCAAACAACTAATCAACTTTCATCAGATTCAGATTCAAAAGTTACTAAATCCTGATTAGTGCATAGGAAACATTTTTTCCCAGCTGAGCCCCACCCACTTCAAACCCAAACTGGAACAAAGACGTCCAGTGAAATAACCAAATCTGTTTAAACTTTGGCGACTGTAGTGTTTTCAGGACCTTTTCAGGATAAATCGTCTTTATTACAAACTGGGTCTTATTTGGGTCCACAGTTACATGAAACCAGCCCACCAAACTTGCAAATTAATTCCTAAACATTTATGACTAAACAAGCAACATTAGGCTTAAAAAAGTTTTTTAATGAAATTTTTTACACTACCCAACTAATCGGCTTTTCATTTCCTTATTAGGAATGCTTTACTAAACACTGAACCCTTGTGATTTTGCCACGGAAATATTTACACCCACATCTTAATATAGTGGACTCTGACACTGAATATTATAAATATTTACACACCTGCATCCCCAGACACAGGGAGTTGAGCATAATGAGGAAGAACATGAGGTACTCAAAGTAGCAAGAGGTGACTATGTACCAGACTCTGTACTGGTAGGGGTTTTTGGGGATGTAGCACCTCAGAGGACGAGCCTTCAGGGCATACTGCACACACTGACGCTGAAATGGAAGCAGCACAGACATAAGGTGGGTTAAAAGAAAAAAAAAAAACAAGTCTACACTTGAGTAACAAGTTTTTAGACTGGGCTCTCTTATTATCCACAGCTTCATCTGTGAAGGTCTCAGTGTACCTGGTTCTTGTCCAGCTCACAGTTCTTATACTCTTCCTCACCCTGCTCCTGAAAAGTCACAATGACAAAGCCCACAAAGATGTTCATCATGAAGAAGGCGATGAGGATGATGTAGATGATGAAAAAGATGGACACGTCCACGCGGTTATTGAAGACAGGACCCATGTCTTCTTCACCTGAATCAATGGCTCTGTATAGCAGCCTGGGAACACAAAATGATGTCAAGAGAAGAAGGGAAACTGGCAGGACAGTAAGATCAGAAATACAATAAGGCTAATTTGTATAGATGAAATTTATAATTCAGTGGATTAAAAAAAGGCTCTACTGACTCTTTTACCATCTCTGGCTCCAGTTAATGGAATTACGTCCAACCCAATATCCACATAATAAGATAATGTGTCTTCTAACTCAATCAAAAATCCTATCAATAACGCAATTTGTTGAATTGGAATTTATGCTGCGCTTACGTTGGCCAGCCTTCAAATGTTGAAACTGTGAAGAGAGCCAGCATGCCATTGAGCACGTTGTCAAAGTTGAAGTCATTGTTGAACCAATCTCTCTTAGCCACCACTGTGTCTTCTAAAGAATTCTCAATGTGCTTCAAGTAGGATCCCCTGAGAGTAGACACAGTGAACAGTCACTGTTAAATAGCACTATAGCTAAAAAATCTATTATGTGTGAAAGATGTTTGCCTTACTGGCATTCCTCTGCAGTCATTTTGGACGAGTCTGTGCAGCTGAAGAGTTTACCCTGGGAAGAAAAGCATTAGTAAAACCTTTAATACAAATGAAGCAAGTCGTCTATACTTATAGTAGCTTAATCTGGAAATATGACCTTTATAGTACTGAACTATATCTGGTGTCATCATCATCATCATCTTGTAAAATATGTACCTTGAAGAGTTGCACTCCTATACAGGCAAACATGAAATTCAGTAGCATAGTGACCAGGACAATGTTGCCGATGGTTTTGATGGCCACAAATACGCACTGGACCACATGCTGTCAATAAAGACAAACAATGGCCACTTAATACTGAGGTGCAGATGTGTGGAAACACAGTGGTGCAATGGAAGTAAGTACATTTACTGAAGTATGTATTCAATTCATTTTCTGCTATTTTATACATAATATTTCAGAGTGAAATATTGTACTTTTTAAAACTGCACTACATTTATCTCAGGTCTAATTAGTTCGTTTTGATACTCATACAAATACATGGCTCATAGGTGCCAGTACTTTTACTGCTTTAAGCACATTTTGGTGATAATACTGTTCTTTTGCTTTAGGATTTTCAATGCAGGAGTATTTCCATTGTTGTATACTTAGGTAATGGATCTGAACACTTCTTCCACCACTGGAAACAGAAGTTTCACCAGGAGAATTATTAATACATGTAACGTACCTTTAACCCTTTAGCTCGGTTGATAGCCCTGAGAGGCCTCAGCACCCTCAACACCCTGAGAATCTTCACCACAGAAATGGCACTGGATCTGCATGTAACATGACGAAGAGCAATCTTGATATGTGCATCTGGGAATACTGAAAGTGTAGCATAGGAAAAATAACATAATAACAAATAACAATGTTCTCCATCTAATGTAACAATCCTAAAAGGTAAACTCACTCCATTCCCATAGACAACAGGGAGACACCGACCACAATCAGATCTAGGATGTTGAAGGAGTTTCGGCAGAAGGAGCCCTCATGCATGAATGCTCCATAAACTGTCATCTGTCAGTCAGATATATTACAGGTAAACAGAATATTGAAGCAAAAAGATCAGTGTTTAAGAACAAATATGTTACATTAGACTTCCAGCAGTACTGACACTCATATCTTAGTGGAACATAATGAGTCAGACCTAAAAGGAGGCATACAGTAACATGAATTTACCTTCAGTGCAATCTCAATGGTGAACACAGTTGTAAAGACAATGTCAGCATAGGCTAGGATCTGGTGGAAAGGCATAGAGAGCAGGGTTATTACCCTTCTTTCAACAGTTAATGTCAAGTGTGTAGTGCCAGACCTAAGTGTCACCTGGTTCCTATAGGACTTGGGATCAATGGGGTCCTCAGCTGCCAGGGAGATGGAGGAGAGCAGGATGAACAGGAGGATTAAGTTGGTAAAGGACGAAGCATTGACGATTTTGTAGCACAGCTTACGGAACCTTAGTAGCAGTGAACAAACATATAGAAATGCACACAGAGTTTAATATGTGCAATTTAATATGCTATTAAACCATTGAACAGGTCGGTGTTATACACGAAGACAGTCAGGTCCTTACTTGTTCTGAGGACCAAAGATGAAAAAGGAGCTGGCTTCAGGCAATGGAACTGCTTCTTCCTTCAGCTGCAGGTCAGCCATCGGTCGGGGCCGAGGACTGATAGGGATCTCAGGCTCTTCCTCTTCATCATCACCTATCATGTGGAAGAAACACTCAAAATTCTATAGTGCAAGGCCAAATCTACTTAAATGTGGTATTTATGTGACAGCATTACATAGGAGAGAGAGAGAGAAACAAACCAAAAAGCTTACAAATAAAATAAAACTCATGCTTAAGGATACAAAGGAAATCTATACTAGCTTTAATATACATATAATGAATCACCTTGTAGACTTTATATGGTAGTCACCAGAGTAGTGTCAAGATGGCCTAACATTAGACTCTGCTATAAACTCAGCTCAGGGAATTGGTTGAGTCTAATAATAATAATAATAATGAGAAGTTACTATACTTATACTGTAACATAGCCAAGACAGCAGCCCTGGTAAACAGCCAGTGTAATGAATATAAATTCTTGCTGGCAGTGACCTCCTTCGGTGACCTCACTGGGAAACATGGGAGATTCAGAAGTGAGCAATACCTGGAAAGTCAGCAGGTGGGAATGGATCTTTCACTTCATTGACATTGGACTCAAACTCATCAATTTTGAGCTGAGAAAAAAAAAAGACATGGGACTCAAACTCATCAATTTTGAGCTGAGGAAAAAAAAAAAGACATGGATTACAGCTCCTTATGCTCCTGATCAATATATCAGTGTTGTGAGTAAAGATGTAATATGAAACCACAAACAGTAACCTTGGCTGTAGTGGGTATGCCCTCTGTCTTGGCCCTCTGCTCTGCCAGTTTCTTAGCTATCCTCTCTCTCTCCTCATCAGTCTTGTCAGGCATTTTGGCCCTGGAGGGCATGAAGGGAAAGGAGTGGAATAAAGTTGAGCTGCAAGTAGACAGAGTAAATCACCTCACCTAGGTTAAACTATCCCTTTTTTCACCTTAGTAACTTCTTTCTCAACTTCTCCTCTGCCTTTTCTTTCTGAGCTGAAGTGAGACTCTCAGCCTCTGCCAGGTTGTCAACAGCAATGGCCAAGAAGACATTGAGGAGGATATCTAAATACCCCGTGCTCAGGAAAACAAAAACCCTTGGACCTTTGTTAGCATACAATTTTTAAATCCCGTGATATCATGATGAGTGTGTGAAGGATACAGTTTCCACAGACATAGAGGACAATGAAGTAGATGGTGACCAGGATGCCAGGGAAGACAGGACCTCCATAGGCCATAATGCCATTGTACATAATGGTGGTCCACTCTTCTCCTGTTAGGACCTGAGAGAGTTAAATGTTAAAAAGCAGACAATGATTTTCTAATGTCAGGGATGAAAGGATGGTACTGTAAATGAGCTTAATTTAAACTACGGATCATAAAAATCATGTAAACAAGGTTTAAAAAAATCGTAAACACTGCTATGAGTCAGTGTCCACCCTCACCTGGAACACACTGATGAGGGCCTGAGGGAAGTTGTCAAAGTTACTGCGTCTGGGTCTGTAGTCGGAAAAGTTGAATTTTCCCCCAAACACCTGCATGCCGAGGAGCGAGAAGATGACGATGAAAAGGAAGAGGAGGAGGAGCAGGGAGGCGATGGAGCGGACAGAGTTAAGGAGAGAGGCCACAAGATTACTCAAAGAGGTCCAGTACCTGCAAAACAGTGGAGTAAGGAGCTGTTAAATGGCAATGAATTACACTAGAGCAATTAAGTTTAATGCACCATCATCCTTTGAGGGGAGAGGACTTACTTTGTAACTTTGAGGATCCTCAGCAGCCGGATACACCTGAGTACTGAAAAACCCAGGGGAGTCACGGTCCCTGCAGACATCATGATCATCTCCACGATGCCGCATAGCACCACGAAGAAATCAAAACGGTTAAACAGAGACATGAAATATGCTCTGGGACCCAAAGCATACATCTTCACAAACATCTCTATGACAAACAGCACCAGTAGAACACGACTGGCGACATCTGTTGAGAAAAGAGGAGAGAGAGAGGAATGTGTGAAGCTGGGAGGGATGGAATTATGTAAACGTATTTACATATATACTGTGCAAAAGTCTTAGGCCACCATTGGTTTTGTTGTTTTAGCAAGGCTGTAATGATAATTTACATTTATTTCTCAGTCTCTTTATTAAGATGTAACCAGAAAATACTTGAAATATGTACACAAAATGGCTTCTGCAGTCCAAAATCAGTATTTAATGTGACCTCCCTTTGTACTTAGCACAGTTTGAATTCTTTTGGGGAGACTGGCTTAAAACCATGACAGACCCTCCATCATGTTTCACTGAAGGCTGCCTCACTCATTCTTCCACCTTTCTCCCAATCTTCTTCTTACATACTATCAATGATTAGACCCAAACATTTTAAAGTTCCATTCATCACCCCATAATCCTCTTTTCCACTGATCTTCACTCAGCCTTTTCTCCCTGTTCCGCTTCTGAACAAGTGGTTTCTTGGCTGCTGTTCTTCCACAAAGACTGTTCCTGATCAAGCTTCTTAAGACTGTGGAAGAATCAACTTGGCTTCCAGATGAAGCTGCCAGATGCTGAGCCAGGTCTTTGCTGGATTTCCTCTGGTCTCTCAAAGAAGAAACTTGTCATCAGACGTTGAGTTTCCTGGGTTGTCCACTCCTGTTATTGTCCTTGACCTCTCCAGATTCTTCATATTTCTTTAGATCAGCTTGAAAACCACATCTGGAGTCTCCAGTTTGTTGGATGATTTTTTTTCTGACATTTTTGTGTTTTTTAATACTGTGTATATATTCCCAGCATTTTCTTGTTGTATGCTTATGAAGACAATGAGAAATATACAGTCATCATAACACTGCTACAACAACAAATCTAATGGTACACCTGTATAATTGTACGCACTTCAATGCAACACTTCTGTGTTTACACCTGTACTTATGAAGCGCAAAATGTTTCAGTTTTTGGTGAAATTGCCATAAATGCATACATTCAATGATATGTTCATTATTGAGCTCATAGTTAAAGGTGGTGTTGTACTGGACTACATTATATTCAGAGGTGTCTCTATATTTTTGTCCTCCCCAGCTACATACATAAGTAGGTCAGAATATTAGGAAGCGTATATGTATATGAGACCAACCTTGTAGGGAAGTGAGCCACTCAGGCTGGTGATGGTGCTCTGTTGCTATGGTCAGGGTATTGAGGAAGACGAGGATCATCACTACCCAGTAAAAGCTGTTGGTTTTCACATATACAAGGCACTTCATCCTGAAGAAGCGATTCCAACGACGAGCCAGGCGGCTAAACACAAAAATATGTCTGGCTTACTGTGCCAAGCTGGTGGGGACATGTCAACATTTGCACATTTACAAAACAGCAGACTCACTAGTAGTACACGACTCGACTCTTCCCTTCCAGGTCAAACAGGCTGTCTGTGTCAGAGTCTCCACTTGTCAAAGGCAGTAGTCCTGACAGAAGAATAGCACTTGTAATTCAACAGTATCTCTACATGAAAGGAGTGGTGAGGTAGTTCACAGTGCTGACCTTTGCCCTCTAAGTCGACATCCAAGACTTCAGCATGAGTGATCCACTCCATGTAGCCATGGAGGTCTTCATCCAGTTGCTGACGGTCTCGCAACTTCTGGTATTCACCACGTGACCTGGCCTTCTCTCGCTCTTTGGTAAACTCTCTGAGTAGAGAGATGAAGAATAGTAAAACAGCAGAAGTGAGCAGTTTTAGTACTGTCAAGAAGCTAGCTGCAAAAAGTAAAAATGATGTAAGATAATGTCGACTTACCCACTCAGCACACCCAGAACCAGATTTAGCACAAAGAAGGAACCCACCAGAATGAGGGGAACAAAGTAGAGCCAAGGCCATTCATTTCCTATGGCATCATTAACCTGAAAGACAACTCTCGGTCAGCCACAGACAGTGCAATCTGTTAGAGTTTGCTCAATAAATACCGAAATCGCTGCAGTGTTGGTGGCAGGAGCACAAATTTCCCAACACTGAAGCAAACACACAACTGAGACAATGCATGTGAGCAGCCACAGACCCAGTAGAGCACTTTGGTCCATCCCTCCATGGTGATGCACTGGTAGACAGTCAACATGGCAAAGCCAATGTTATCAAAGTGGGTGATGCCATTGTTGGGACCTTCCCACTCTGACCGACACTCCGAGCCATTAATAAGGCAGCGCCGTCCATTACCAGCCACTGCACAGGGAGCAGGCAGTTCACCCTCTGCTGTGGCATAGATATCTGTGGGGAAACAGGTACAGTATAGCTATGATTTCCAAATGTAATGCTAAGTAAGGTATAATATATATAAGGTATCACTATAAATGACAAAATATTGTATATAAAAACTCCAGTGCAACAGAAAATGAATATGCCCTTTATAGATACTTGTGCTCTTGTAATAGCAGGTCTTATGCATTTTGCACTTGAAGAGCTCCAGTCCCATGATGGCATAGATGGTGACCAGTAAAAAGACCAGCAGGGCAATGTGCAGCAGAGGCAGCATGGCCTTGAGGATGGAGTTCATCACCACCTGCAGGCCTGAAGGTGGACAGTAAAACCAAAACAATGCAATACTGTATAAAAAAAAATCTCAGTCGTCTCTGCAATACACACATACCATGCTTCCAATGGATCAAATAGAACAGTATTTAACAGAGCCACAGAGTCGTTCTGCAGTATGTATGGATTAATGCACATTCACTTACTGGGGACTCCAGAGACGAGTCGTAGGGGTCGCAGCACTCTGAAGGCTCTCAGCGCCTTCATATCAAACCCCCCGCCCTTCTCTGTTGGTGCGCCTGCTATCTTATTGACAGTATCCAAAACAAAGGTGAAGAGACTGTAGAAAAAAAAGATAATAAGCCATAAGCACCTACCTGAACAAAACTGTTGCTGTCATGACTTAAGATGCATTACCTTTTCCGCCCCAGTCAAAACTGAGTATGTCTTGACAACTGACAGATCAGTTTACAGACAGATATTACATTTTCAGCTTTGTCAAAGGCAGTCACAGTGATGAAGGAAAGTTGAGTATTTTGGTAGCAGAGATATCCACCTGCAGCCCACAGCTCATCTTACCCCATGAAGACAATGACAAAGTCCAATATGTTCCAACAGTTCCGTAAATAGGCGCCTTCATGGAACACAAACCCATAAGCCACTATCTTCAGAAAGCACTCTAAAGTGAAGATGATCAGGAAGATATATTCCAAACTCTCCTGCAGAAAGACACACACAAACCAGGAAATTACATGTGATAAAGCTGATGAAACGCTTAGTGTTTAACAATAGATGTTGCCGGACTTGAACAATTTGGACTCATTAGTTTTGAAAGCCTGTTATCTAAGTTTAATGCAAATTTAAAAAAACAAACTTAGACCATTTAAACAGATGGGCAGCCTGTAAGTCGCACAGTGATTAAGTAAACAATTTTAGACTCATTACAGTATATCAAGTAAAACCTTTGAGACAGAAAAACAGTTTTCAGAAAATTAAATGATTTGTTTTGAGGTGATAAACATAAATGTAAGTGTGGGTGAATAAAAACATGTGTATTCTATGTCCTCAAACAGTGTAACATTTCCTTCATATATAAAGATGGATAGACAGAGAGATAGACGAATAGCGAGATAGATAAGCTTTCTTGTTATTGTATATCATTATACAACAAATATCAGTTTGGCAGCAATCCTCCTAGATACTATACATACCTAAAATAATTACTCAGAATAGAGTTACCTGGCTATCAAAACACTCAACTGCACATATTTGGTTGCAACAGTAACATGAAATCTTTAGATAGATTTATTACTTTTCCTTATTATCTTAAATTCAAATGCTGTAGGAGAAGACGCTATAAGACCATAACAGTATGACAGAGCTCTGAAGGAATCCAGTCCCAGCTTTAGATACCATCGAAATTATAGGTTAGCTATAAAATACATAAGCAGTTGATTTCCATTTGATTCTTAAAAAAATTCAGGCCAGTAATGTTTGGCTGAACCACCCAGCAGCAGTCTCCAGACCTCCAATCAATTAGAACCTCCAAGGCCAACGCTGCATATACAGTATTAAAAATAATACATACATTCATAAGCAAACTGTAATTCAGATTCTACCAAGTGGAGCAACAAGTAGAGCTGTGTGTTTCTGTTGCAGTGTATCAGTGTTATAAAACTTAATATTTTATGACTATATGAGTATGCATGTGGTTACATGAAGCAACATTTCTAGACTCTCCTGCATCCACCTGCGTCAGTAGGCCGACCTACTTCTACCAGCAACTGGGGGGTGAGGTAGACCAGCTTCTCTTACATCGCTCACCTCTGAGAAATGGCACACGAAGAACTAAGCAGGATTTGTAAGCAGGCAGTTTTAGATCCAGATACCTGATGACTTCATGAATTTTGCTGGGATGTAGGTCAACTGGTGGTGTACCAACAAAATTGCTATAAGCTTTAACCTAGTTGTGTGTGGAGTTTATTGACTGAATGATGGACAGCAAGTAATGAGTGCTATATGCTGACATTTGTGCTGAATTCAGGTCTCTAAGAGAAGTGAACCACATACTAGATTGCTCATATAAGCCTCTTCTGCACCATAACAGCAGTGTCAATACTTCAAATATATAAATATTGACAAGAGTCCATCATTACCCAACAAAGTTCCATTAGTTGTATTCAGTCTCCAACCTCTAATATGTTATCCACAACCTTACAGCAGTGTAAACATGCACCAGCAGCATCCAGAGGTCAAACACCTACCTCCAGTTTACAGTACAGATAGCTTCACTGAGAAACTCCTGCTTCACTTTTATGAGAATACATAGAAAAAATGCCATCTGAACTGACAAAACCCATCAAATCACTCAGAATGAGCTCAGCTTCAATTGTGTATTATTGTGTATTGTGTATCAAAGTCAAACCAAAAACAGGCATTGTGAGATTTTACTGCACATCTTTGTATTTTGTAACTTTTACCCTGGTGGTAGGTGAACGTTTCACACACATCATATCCTGTGGATATGAAGTTAAATGTCTTATATTTGTGCCATTATCTTCTTTAACATCCAGGTTTTGAGCAGAGAGGAATAAAGTAATCGGAGACCTGTTCCTCTGCAGACACAGGTGAGACTCCAAATAAAGAACTGAGTTGTGTCTGGAGGCATTTAAACCGGGCTTGGCTCTCTGACCGGTGTCCAGCTGGCAATAAGCAGCCAAAACCATTAAAACTGTTGACTAAAGCTGCACAGTCATCTACTACTCATGGTAAAATACTGGATCCTTTAGAAACCAGAAACTATGAGTGAAATATTTAGCTTCAATTCTGCACCCTTCATATTATAATAAACAAATATCATTGGCACTTTGATCCACCAGGATAATGCCTATCACAGAGTTCTGAAAGAAAGGGCATGTGTGTTCATACTCACTAAGCTTGCGTTGGTGTTGTTACTGTCTTCTTCAGGCATAGGCAGGAACACAGCCAGAGCTATACAGTTAGCAAAGATGGTCAATAAGATGATGATCTCAAAGGTTCTGGATGGGGAAGCTCAGGGTCATAACCTTAATTCTCAAAGAGGACTGGCTTACAAAAGGAATACAATTTAAATGAAATAATTCATAATGAGAATATGTGACGGGACAATGAAAGGGTAAGAAATGCTTGTCGAATATAAATGATCCATTTTGTCCTCTGTGAGATGTCCTCTATTTGTCATGTAATGTAACAAACCAAACCAAGCAGCTCTGCTAACATTTATCAGTGTCTAAATGCTGCTTGAAACATCATCCCTAAAACAGCCCGTGTAGTAGGCAGCAAAGCAGCGACAGTTAATGTAACCTTGCCTGCTGTGCTGCTTCATTCTTGTCTACAGGGGGCGTTCTAAGAGAATTCCCCTGCCAGGTCAGCATCATGTCTCTCTGTGATGCCACGAGACAGCTGCAGAGCCCAAGGATATGACCAAATCATCAGTAATAAATACTGTTTGGTTATTCTAAGACATACTGATTTATCCTTAAGACTGTAAGTGCTGATATATTTTTAAGCACAATAAGTACTAGTGTTACTTCTCAACAGTTCTGTGATTTTACTCTGAATACAGCACCCATGCCCTGTGTCACAGAATCGCATACCAATGTTATTAACTTGCTGCAGTAAAAAAATCATGACATGGTCGAGCAAATACAGATGCATGTCAACAAACTCTTCAGAAAAACAATAACTAATTATAGGACAATGATGCGTTACCATGCACATTCGCTGTTCTATATTAACATGCTGTGAGAATAAAGCTGTTGAGATTCATTCTTATTTGGATATAAAACATGCATTATCCAGGAATGGACATCAAGCAAAAAAAGCAGGAAACTCCTTATAGGGGCCATAACATCACTCAACAGCTCAGCTTTAGTTCAGGTGTCAAACCTCACAGAGTGCAAGCATTTCAAAGTGACTATTTCCACATTAAAAAGCAGAATGAAAGCTAGTTAAAATGCTGAAGAAGCAGCTCATTTCTGTATGACAGATGTAACTAGTTTAGCTTATGAAGCTCCTTAAGTGAAAATATGAGGCCTATAAATCCGACTTTGAAGAAAGGCAGCCAGACAAATAAAAGTCCTAACACAGATTGAGACAGAGCAGTTATCACAGGTGAACTACATAGCTAATAATTCAGTCATACAGACACGGTGTTTCAGTATTCCCTAGCTGTCACTGCTGAAACCCAGAACCCTAAATGCTATAATACCTGTATAATACCTTGATTGTCTTGTATAGCAACAATAAGTAAATCTAGTAAAACAGTCTCTGTGTTGTGTATGTATACTACAGCTGTGTGTGTGTGTGTGTGTGTGTGTAAGATATAAAGGATACTTCCACTCCACTATATTGATGCAGGCCTTGCGAAAGGGATTTCTGAGGGTGAAGAGAAAGAGGGATCTTGCTGGTCGAGGGTTTCCCCCTGTGGCCTGTAGTTTCTTCAGCTTCTCTCTCTGCTTCCTTTTCAGCTCTTCTTCATTCATGATGACCGACTTGGTCGCCTCTTCTTTGGACGCCATCTTGATGCCTCCTCCTGAGACAAGCTTCCAGTCCTGGAGAAGGAAGTTCTCCCACTATGTAATCCCAAACTGAGGCCGAGTACAACTCTTTGCTGCAAGGGCCCCTAGGTTCCAGACTTGCCAATCCCCTGTGTGCGCCCTGCTGCTCTCTCTCCCCCCTTCTCCTCTGCCTCTGACCTTGTCACACACACAGCCACAGGCCTCTCCTCCTAGCTGGGGCACTCTGACATAAAAAAGCCCCCTCAGTAGGGGAAAAATAACAGGAGCCCAGAGTGACTGCAGAAACAGTTGGCCCTGCTGCAGTTTAAATTTAGACTGCAAACCACTGACAGGCCATGCTTGGGGATGGCTAAGAGGGTGGGGTGTAGAGGGTGGAAGAATGGAGTAGATGATCGAGGGGAGTGGGTGTCGAGGGTGTGCTGGGGCAGGGTGGCAGCGGCAGCACAAAGAAGGGGAAAGACAGAGGCTCTGAACCTGAAAAAAAAAGACAGGTTTCTACCACCAGTATGACGTTGTATAGGTGGAGCACAGTGTTTAGAGCCTGAAAAAGGTTGAATGAGAGCAACACACAAAGAGCAAGAAATTATTAAAAGACCAGTTTACACTGTCAGCCTCAAAACAATTATAAAATAGAACTCTATGCCTCCACCAACCGGTCAAATTCACATGAATGGAACAGACATGAGGTCATTCACCTCTGACCGCCAAAATCTAATCACTTCATCTTTGAGTTGTTAGGCATCTTT